CCAGGCTGGCCTCAGACTCACAAAGATCCACCTGCCTCTGCCTCCCGAGTGTTGGGACTAAAGGTGTGCGCCACCAACACCCAGCAGAAGAATAGCTTATTGAATAAGTGCATTTGCTGTTCTTGCAGAGGATTCATGTTCAATGCCCAGCACCTACATGGCAGCTCACAACTCTGTAACTACAGTTCCAGAGGATCAGACATCCTTATACCAATGCACATTAGATAAATTGTCCTTTTAAATTGTGAGCTATTGAAACTTGAGACTGTGATTCCAAGGGCTGGGAGTGGTTAGATGTGAGTTCAGATCCCCAGCAGCCACATAAAACCTGGGCACACACCTATATACTCAGTACTGTGGTGGTGTCTAGGAGCAAGGAATTTAGGTTCCCAGAGCTTCTTGGCCAGCAAGCCTAACCCACAGGGAAGTCTGGGTTTGGTGAGAAATCCTACCTCAGAAAAGAAACTATGATAGAAAATGACAGAGGAAGACAGTCAATATTAACCTCCTCATACAACCACACATGGACACATGCATGAAAAAGTGACTGCGTTCAGCCTTCTAACTCCTATGTGCTGGAGGCTAGAGAGGGGTGCCTGGGCACAGGATGACATGCAGCTAGGGATAAGATAAGAAGACACAGCACCAGGCTCCCAAGTGAGGGTCTGGTGACACTCCCTGCCTTCTGCGGGGAATGTTAACAGGGCCATTACCTTACCTCAGACCTAATTATCATTATTGCTTTGCTTATTTTGTTGCCATGACTGGATGTAGGTCACTACCTCAGTCTCTGCTCTATGATGGCCTACAGAGAGACATATCAGGCTCAAGAGGAAATAGCTTCATTACAACCAGCTGATACAGTCATGATGGTAACGCCGGAGTACAGAGCTGCCCAGTGCTTAACAGAAAGAAATGCCCCTTCGTAAGCACTTCGGCTGATGGGTTGACTACTAGATCATTTATTAAAATTAAAGATTTTTTTTATGTGTATGAATACATTTTCTTACATGTGTTTCATATGCCTGCCTGATACCCCCAGAGGTCAGAGGAGGGCATCAAATCCCCTGGAACTGGAGTTACTGGCAGTTATAAGGCACCATGTGGGTGATGGAAACTGGACCCAGGTAATCTTCAAGAGCAGTAAGTGTTCTTAACTATTAAGCCAACTCTCCAGCTCCTTATTAGAACTTTATGCATTAAAAATGTATGTTTACGATTGGCGGTGGTAGTGCATGCCTTTAATCCCAGCACTCGAGAGGCAGATGCAGGTGGATCTCTGTGATCCCGAGGCCAGCCTGGTCTTCAGAGCTAGTTCTAGGACAGGCTTCAAAGCCACAGAGAAACCCTGTTTTGGAAAAAAAAAAAAAAATGTATTCTTACCTTTTCCTTATAAATATAATTATTTACAGCCCCTATTTTATTTTTTTTTTTAACATTTACTTGTTTTGTGTTCATGGGAGTGCCACAAAATACTTGTGGAAGTCAGAAGACAACTTGCAAAAGTGAATTCTCTCCTTCTACCACGTGGGAACTATGGTCAAACTCAAGTTGTCAGGCTACAGTAGATGCCTTTAACCACTGAGCCATCTCACTAGCCCCACAGCCCTATTTTAAAGCTACACTGTGTATAAGTGCTTGTTAAAATGCTGCTGTTAAGCCAGGTAGGTACATGCTGGTAATCCCAGCAGTTGGGAAGTGGTAGCAGGAAGACCAAATCAAGACCATCCTTGGCTACATACTTAGTTCAAGGGCAGCCTGAACTACAAAAGACCTTATCTCAGAAAGACAGGCAGACAGACAGACAGAAGAGAGAAAGAGGAAGGATGAAAACGCTGGTGTTGTCAGCTGGACCTGGTGATATATACCTGTATAGTTCCAGCTACCAGGAAGACCGAAGCAGGAGGGGCCAGGAGTTAGGGCAGTCTGAGCAGCAGAGGAATAGCTATCTCAAAAAGAATTATTGGACTAGTAAGGTGGCTCAGCAGGTAAGGGCACCAGTAGCCAAGCCTTACAAGCTGAGTTTAGATCCCCAAGATCCAAATGGTGGAAGGAAAGGACTGGCTCCCCAAAATTGTCCTCTAACCTGTACATTCATGCTATGGCATGCATGCATGCACATATACACACATACATAAATGTAAGTTCATAAGGAAATATTGCTGTCTTGCTGGTTGTTTACTTAGCTGGGGTGTTTTGTTTTGTTTTTACAGTACTGGAGACTGAGTCTGCTATCTTGCTACTGAGCTGCATTCCCAGCTGAGTAGATTTGGGGAAGTAGTTTTGTGTCTGTGCAATAGGTGTGTGCTTGTTTGTTTTTGTGTTGATACACCATCTCAGATAACCCAGGCTGGCCTCAAAGCAAAGATGTAGCTAAAGACGGCCCTAAGCTTCTGATCCTTGTGCCTCCACCTCCCAAGGCCCCAGGGGTCAGCCCCAGGGCATCATGCTTACTAGCTAAGCACTCTACCAAATGAGCCAGTTCCCCAGCTCCTGAATTAGATTTAAAATTGTAAAACTGGAAGACTTGATTAAACTATAGAAAGCTACAAAGGAAATGCTAATTCAGTGTTGAAGAGATCATTGCAGAGAGCAAAGAGAAATTCTACAGTGACAAACATTCCCTGAGAACCATGTAAAGATTTAGGTTTAGGAAAAAAAAAAATGTATAGCAGCATTATTCTGATTACTCTGACAGAAGTGTCGAATGGACCTACTCAAAAGAACTTCAGGAACCGTGAAGGACTTGGTATTGCAAACACTTTTTATAACTTCACCTCAGTGAGCAGACACTATGACATTATTTTCATTCCTTCTGGTATACATATGCCTATCATAATGAGAAAAAGCCCCTTAGTATGCTTGTCTCTGACCACCTGTAAGTTACAGGTCAAAAAAACTAACAAAATAGTATTTCTGTGAGTAAAAATACAAATATAGTTCAACCTTTTGGGAATAGTGAAAAGCCACTTACAAATGTGGCCAGACAGGCTGGTGATGATACATGTATGACAGTGCTTCCTGGCGTTTGCTGACTGGATATGACTTCCTTTTAGGGGCTGGAGAGATGGTTCAATGATTAAGAGCACTTGCTTCTCTAGCAGAGGGCCTGAGTTCTGCTCTGGACCCATGTGAGGTGGCTCAAGACCACCTGTAACTCCAGCTCCAGGAATCTGACACTGGACAAACCACACATCCAGATTTTTTTAAAAATATATAATTGTTCTACCAAATTTAAAGGCATAATTTATGTTTCATAATAACTCAAGGTTTTAAAATTTTTTATCACATTTATTTAGTGCATGTATGTATTTGTAAGGGCCTGTGCATGCCATATGGAGGTTAAAGGACTTTATTATTTTCTCCCACCCTGAGTCTTAATGCTCACACTCAGGTCATTTGGCTGGGCATCAAGTCCCTTTACCTGCTGAGCCATATCACCAACCCCTGGGAGAGTTTTATTGAGTGAAACACTGGTCTCTGTTTTCAATGTTTCTTTCATTATGTCATAAAAAGTTATTATATAAAACTCACTCTTTTGAAAATCCTTAAATGTTAAATTCAGCAGTAGCAAGTACCTTCACTAGATTTTGTAACCATCACCTCTATTTCATCATTCCAAAGAGAAACTCTGTAACCCATTAAGCAATAACTCCCCATTCCTTCCTTCTTCTAGCCTCTATGACTACAGTTAGTTGTACTTTATGTTTCTGTGGATTTGCCTGCATAGGTGCCTTGTTTGGTTTGTTTTCTCAAGTCGGGTGGTGGTAGCACATTCCTGGATCACAGCACTCGGGAGCAAAGGCAGGCGAGTCTCTGTGAGTTCAAGACCAGCCTGGTCTACAAGAGCTAGTTCCAGGACAGGCTCCAAATTTATGCAGAGAAACCCTGTTTCCAGAAACTAAAAAGAAAAACAAACAAACAAAACACCTTACAGCTGGATCTTTTGTTTGTTTGTTTCTCAAGATTGGGCTTCTCTGTGTGTCCCTGGCTGTCCTGGAACTCACTCTGTAGACCAGGCTGGCCTCAAACTCACAGAGATCTGGTAAGGCATTTTCTTAATCAGTGATCAATAGGGGAGGGCTCAACCATTGTGGGTGGTACCATCCCTGGGCTAGTGGTTCTGGATTCTATGAGAAAGCAGACTGAGCTGGGCATTGGTGACACATGCCTTTAATCCCAGCACTAAGGAGGCAGAGGCAAGTGGATCTCTGCAGCCTGGTCTACATAGGGATTTTCAGGACAGCCAGAACTACATGATAGAGATTATTTCAATAAATTAAAATAAAAGAGGATGTTTTCTGTCTTACTTACGGGTTAGGATCACTAATGCTGTGACGAGAAACATCATGACCAAAAGCAACTTGGGGAAGAAAGGGTTTGTTTCACTCGTATTTCCATATAACAGTTTATCAGAAACAGAAAGGGTAGGAACTTAAATAGGACAGGAACCTGGAAGCAGGAGCTGATGCAGAGACCATGGAGGAATGCTGCTTACTGGCTTGCACCCACTGGCTTGTCAGCCTGCTTTCTTTTTCTTTTTTCTTTTTCTTTCTTTCTTTCTTTCTTTTTTTTTTTTTTTCCTGGGGGGAGATTTCAAGACAGGGTTTCTCTGTGGCTTTGGAAGCTGTCCTGGAACTAGCTCTTGTAGACCAGGCTGGCCTTGAACTCACAGAGATCCACCTGCCTCTGCCTCCTGAGTCTAAAGGCATGGGCCACTACCACCTGGCCATCATAGGATAAGATAGGATAAGAATGAGTGAGCATCTACAGACTACAGCCAGGATATCTGAATCTTCTTCGAATCCCCCAAGACAGCGCCCCTTACCAGCAGGAAGTAGTTTGGAAAGAACGACGCCCAAATTCCCAAATATTGTGTATAAATGTTTGTTTTCATTTAATTGGACTGTTATATAAAATTAAATAAAATTTAAAAAATTAAATATAAAATAAAACCTCGAATCATAAAAAAAAAAGTACCACTATATCTGTTTCCTCAGGAAATTACTACAGTCAAGGAGAGATTCGAAAGAAAGAACTTTTGCAGAGCTGTGATGTTTTGGGGATCCCACCTTCCCGTGTAACAATTATCGACAACAGGTAATTTGTCCTTTTCCATAATGTAGAAACTCATTCCATTGGTAATAAATGTACATTGGTACACTGAAAAGCCACAAACCCCATGTGAGTGTAAATCCTTATTTCAGAAGTCTACTGTTACTTTAGTTGTTATTTGGCTGATTAGTTTTTCAGACAGGGCACAGGAATCCCTGCCTGGCCTTGAACACCCTGTGTAACTAAGGGTGATCTTGAACTTCTGATCCAGACCCCTGAAGTCAGGGTTACAGGTACATGCTGTGTGGATCAAAGCCAGGACTTTGCACATGCTGGGAGTACTCTACCAACCCAGCTACATCCCCAGCCTCCAGGACCTCCTGTGAGCTTCCTGTCCCAGATCTGGAAGCAGCAATTTCTCCAAGGCTGGTTTTTCTTAGCAGGGAAAATGTATAGAGACTTTTACCTGCACAGTAGAGGCATTCATTTTTACAGGGTCATTATTTCTCAATTGGTAATGGGCAGAACTAGGACATCTATATTTTAAAGGATGGAAGAATCAGGAATGTATACTAATGATTATAATAAAAAGTATTTCAGGTTTTTTTACAATTGAAGTTTTTTTTCTCCTACTCTGACCATCTTGTTTCCCATTGACACAGACGTAATTCTCATTTTCTTTTTTAATACTGTTACCAGGTGGTGGTGGCTCATGCCCTTACTCACAGTAACTGGGAGGCAGAGGCAGGTGGATCTCTGTGAATTCAAGGCCATCCTGGTCTACAGAGTGAGTTCTAGGACAACCAAGGCTACACAGAGAAACCCTAACTTGAAAAATTAAAAAAGTAAAAAAATTTAAATAGCATATATTTTATATATAAATATATTTGTTTCTGCTTTTTTTTAATTTTTTTTAATAATGCATGACCACCACCCAGCTGATTTATTTAATTTTACAAAAGTAGGGAATTGGTTTGTCCAAATCTAGGGTTTGAAAACTTGCACTGTACCAGTTTTGTGAATTTCAATTTGTGTGCTTTAAGATCACTCATCAGTTTGCCCACATATTGGGGTTTGTGACTGGGGTTTATTTCTTTTATTTTGAGATAAGGTCTCACCATGTAGCCTTGGCTATGTTAGAACTTGCTATGTAGACCAGGCTGCTTTCAAATCACAGAGATCCACCTGCTTTTGCCTCCCTAGTGCAGGGATTAAAGGCATACATGTGCTCCCATGTTCAATTCCTATGAAGTAATTTTTCAAACATTTCTTAAAATATTTGGCCTCTAGGAAGGCTGAGATAGGAATATTGCTATGAGTTCAAGGTCAGTCTAGAGGAACAGAGTAACAGAATGAGACTCTATTTTAAAAAACAAAACTTTAAGTGGGTCAGGGGATGCTGTCAAACTGGATATACTGAGTTTAATCCCCCAAGACCCATGTGGTAGAAAGAAGGAGCTGATTCCTATATGTTGCCCTGTGACACAAACATACACAAAAAAAATATAAATTTTTAGAGGTTTAAATTATATTTATACAAATGTGTTTAAATATATATAAACAGATGTGTGTTTAATATTTTCTCTGCTAGTTTTTAATTACATGTATTTAGTATGTGTGTGTATGTGTCTGTGTGTGTGTGCGCTGTGCATGCGAGTACATCAGAGGACAATTTGTGGGGGTCAGAGAACAATGTGTGGGAATCCTACCTCTCCTTCTATCATGTGGATTCCCAGAATGGAACTCACATATCATCGGGTTTGGTGGCAAGTATCATCACCCTCTAAGCTGTCTCACTGGCCCTGCTGTGCTATTTGTAGAGAACTGAGTGTTAGATAAAGAGATTGTATCTCTTTTAGAGTCTATCTCACTGTTTCTCAATGCTCGCTGTCCAGGAGCTAACCCTAGTTCAGTGTTGCAAGGCAGCTCCAACAGATGTCGAAGGTGAACTGGTAACTTCACAAACACGGCTGACTTCATGCAGAGGAGGAAAACATGACTCACTTGTCTAAGAAGTGCTCCCTTTCGATAGATTCTGGATATAAGAATATCCAAGGAGTAAGAAGACTGCCAAGTAATGAGATCTCCAGTCTACACACCAGGAAGGGACCCTTCATGCTTATCACTTGTTTATCTTGCTTTCTCTATCTTCCCAGCAAACTTGATCTCAATTTGTTTGGTGTTGGGGTGGAGACAGCTTGGTTCTTGATCATAGAAGATTAGAACCTGAATATTATTGGATGAGGGAAGGGTGGGACTGCTCTAGATACAGGAGGGAAATAGATAACAAATGAATGTTTAGTCTGCTGGGATTGTTTTAGTTTCAGATGGAGGATCTCTCCCACACAAAGTCATCCAAAGACAAAATGAGTCCAGGGTAGCTCAGGAGCATCTTCAAAAACTCTTCAGTGGTTGTGAAGATTTTACAATAAAGATACCATACTTAGGCCCTGCATAGTGGCACACACCTTTAATCCCAGCACTCTGAAGGCAAAAGAGAGTTCCAGGACAGCCAGGGCTACACAGAGAGAGAGAAAGAGAGAGAGAAATAAAAACAATCATAATTAACTGAGCATGCCAGCCTAGGCAAGATCTACCATAATTTATTTCATATTTTCCTGCTATTTAGATTTTTCTAGTGATTTGCAATTTCAAGGTGTATTAGTAAATCTTTAAACCATTAGAAGATTACCCAATAATAAGCTAGTAGGTCGGGCTGGAGAGATGGCTCAGAGGTTAGGAGCACTGGCTAATCTTCCAGAGGTTCTGAGTTCAATTCCCAGCAACCACATGGTGACTCACAACCATCTATAATGAGATCTAGTGGCACACATGTAAGCATAATAAATGAGTAAATTAAAAAAAAAAAAAGCTAGTAGGTCAAAGAATATGACTTCCATTTTTTTTTTTATTATTTAATCAATTTAGAAGCTTTTTTATTGTGCTGGAGACCAAACCTGAGCCTTGTGATGCTTAGCAAATGCTGTCTCCTTGGCTCCTCCTGGCCTTGCAGCTTTTTTTCATTTAGGAGTGAAAGCATTCCTTCTGTTTATTTTGAGTAACCTTAGTTTTTGTTATTGTTGTGAATAAGATTTTTATGATCTGTTTTTAGTTTTAATTACATTTATTGTGTTGTATGTATGATAAAAATTCAGTGTGTGTGTGTGTGTGTGTGTGTGTGTGTGTGTGTGTGTGTGTGTGCGTGCCGTGATATCTGTGTGGAGATCAGAAGACAAACTGTAGAAGTTGGTTCTCTTCATGTCCCCTGTGGCTCCCAGGGATCAAACTCAAATCATCAGGCTAGAATATCTTTTTTTGAAAATTTGCACATTTTTATTTTGTATGCTCATGTGTTATATCTTAAATGGATGTGTGTTCTCATGTGTTGGGGCACACATATATATGAGCATTTTCATGTGTATACATATGCATATAGAGGCTTGAGGTTGACATCATGACAAGCTATCACACATCCAGCTGGCATATATGTGGGTTCTAGGGACCTAAACTCTGGTCCCCACTCTTACATGGCAAGCACCGTATCCACTATCTATCTCCCCAGACCCAGGTAGCCTTTTATGCCCATATTTCTATTGACCATCCTTTCAAAATAATCTAAGTTTTTTTCTAGATGTCCTAATTTGCTTTCTATTGCTGTAATTAAACACACACACACACACACACACACCTAAAAGCAACTCAGGGAGAAAAGGGTTCATTTCAAATCAAGTGAGGAGTACTTGCCCAATGGTGTCGCCACCCATAGTAGCTAGACCCTCCCACATTCTATCCTTAATTAAGAAAATGCCCCACTGATGTGCCCACAGGCTTCTCTCTGATGGGGGGGGGATATTTTCTCCTCCCCGATGACCCTATTTTTTACCAAGTTGACAAAACAATAACTAACTAGCATACTAGCAAAGATCATCCAGCTGCTACCTATTGTCTTGTCCCAAAGCCACTTCCACAGATTTAGTCATTATTTCATGGTATTAAAATCTGTTTTATTCTGCTTGGGCTGCCATAACAAAATACCACAGACAGATGACTTAAACAACAGAAACGTACTCCCCCACCCTCGCCCCCACCCCGGTTCTTCATACTGGAGGTAAGGAGGTCAGTTCCTGGTGAAAGCCCTCTTCTTTACAGATGGCCACCTTCACATGTGGAGCAGGCAGGTGGGACCTCACCCTTGTGACCTCGTTTAACCTTATTTGCCTAAGAGCCACATCCAAATATAGTCACTCTAGGGGAAATATTAAGCTTTAGCTTAATATGAATAAGGGGAAATGCAGTTCAGTTCATAGAAATATGAAAGCATCTTAGCTTTTCATTTAATCAGACTCTCTAGATATATCTCAGAGGAAGATGAAGGGAAAGGGGGAAGAAGGAAGTTCCATAGAGGACCTGTAACCTGTGATGGTGATAACTAGATATAAAACCCTTACTGTTGGTAATACATGATCTTTCTTAATCCTGAAGGTGATCCAATTATTTTCCATTTTACAGATAAAAATTTGAGATGGTCAGGCTGAGTCACTTGCTCAAGGTCACTGGGCTGCCAGAGTGAAAAACTGGCATTTGCACTGGGGCCATCTGGCTGCAGAGTATAAGCTTCAAGCAATATCTTTCTGGGCTACTCTCAAAGTATGGGGTACTTTCAAAGTATGAAGTACACACTCCTGGCCACATCCTTTCAAAGGCCATATCACTTAATTTGTAAGCTAACTCTATGAGACAGCTTTATCATCTTTCTTTGTTTTGTTGCACATAGAGAAATGAGAACTCAGTGGAAATCACACATTTAAGAAATGGCAATTCTCAGCCGGGCAGTGGTGACACACACCATTGATCCCAGTACTCAGGGAGGCAGAGGCAGGTGGATCTCTGTGAGTTGGAGGCCAGCCTGGTCTACAGAGTGAGTTCCAGGACAGTCAGCAATACACAGGGAAACCCTGTCTCAAAAAAACAAAAAGGAATGGCAATCCTCAAACAACAAAACAAAGTCCCCACAGAAATAGCAAGGCTAGGTAGGGCTCAGAGAC